TGGCCGCGCTGCGCGTGGGGTCGTCGGCGCTCTGGGGCAGCTACCTCTTGCAGCAAACGAAGGAAGGGACGTTCGACTCTCTCTGCCACCACACGATCGCGGACCTGAGCGTCGAGAGCACGAGCATGCAAGCACTCCTCCCGCACGCCCACGCGTGGCTTCTGCTCTGGGCAGCCGCGATCGCCAAAGGGTCGTTGACGGTATCAACGATCGCGTGCAACCTCTCGCTCCTGCCCGAGTGGGTGCCGCTTCTCAGCGCGCACGCCGAGCTCCTCGACGCACTCGGACAGAGTGTCCATACAGCGAGGGACCTGGGCGCGGCCAAAAGTTTGGCCAACTTGTGTACGTGGGCCAGAGAGAGTCAGGCCGACGCCCCTGCGCTGCAAGCTGTGCTTCGAGACCGAGCCGAGACGTGGGCGGCCTTGGCGGCCTCGACCAGCGACAGCGAAATGCAAGCCATTGCGATACAAATCCAGCACACGCGGCAGGTCGACGCATAGCTTCTGTATATTGATCGTCTTCCGTGCTATTCCATGTGCGCTCACGTTGGTTTGGCATTGGTGCGTCGCACATGGCGCGTCGGCTTGGTCGGCGATGGTTTGATCGGAGACGGTTTGGCGGGGCATGCTTTCTTGAGCTCGGCAATGTACGCCGGATTAAATATCGGCACGTACACGACAGGCGAGTCGGTGCCCTGGGGCACGATCACTTGCTGCATGAGCTTGCTCCACGGGTACACGCCGCCGTCCTCGAGTATGTGCGCGGGGACACCCAGGAGATTCTTTCTCGCAGTGTCCTTGTGTTCGATGGGCGGCAACGTCTTGTCCGATTTCGTCGCCGCTTCCTTTCGTACTTCGGACGCCTTGTCATCGTGTATCGCTGGCTTGCGCTGTCGTGGCGCCTGTATTCGAGATGGGGGCTTCTACGCTTCAACGCTGAGTCCTCGGATCGTACTATCAAATATGTGCGTTCTTACGACGGCCGCTCGCAGTTTGCGGGGGCTCTCGGGGGGCGCGTCGAGGTGGGAGGCGCGAGACCGTGTTGGTCGAGCGTAGCTCGGGGGTGGGTCCTCGGGCTTCTTTTCTTCCTCTTCGTTGGAAGACTCCTTGGTCATGGGGATCGGGTCGAGCTTGCGCGGGCTATCTCGTCGCGGACTCGTGTGTCCGGCTTTCTTGGGGCTCGTGCGCGGCGTCGGCGTCGTTTGTGCTGTCTGGTGCAACTGCACATAGCTCTCGTTTGCAACGAGCGGAGGCTTGGTCGCTTGGCGCTGGCGCTGAAGACGCGTGAGCTCTTCGATCTCCTTGACGACCTTTTCAATTTCAATGTCGTAGTGCTCGAGCTCGTCGAGCAACGTCGATGTTGTGGACACGGGGACCGTTGCTGCTGGACCCACCAACATCGAGCTCCCTGTAAGCTCTGGCTCGTTCCTACACGAGCTTCAACAACACATATCATCGCGCGCATACCGAGATACGACTACTGGCATCCCGGATGCTTTGCTACATCACACGCGCCGTGAGAAAGGTAGAGTGAGAAGCATGACGAACATAGCCATGTCTTTGGACCGGGGCGGCATCGTCGCATCTGTGTCAACGTCCGCGATAGCGACAGTGCTGCTGGACGCTGGCGGCGGCGCTGGGTAATGTACAATGGGCTTCTTTACAATGGCGTGGATCCGGCGTGGAGACGCCTGCATGAGCCTACGCCATCCACACTGCATGAGCTTATCTTGCTGCAAAAAAGCATTTGGTTACGCTGGCTCGCCTTGAACGGGGGTTGTTTGTCCCTCTTGTTCACCCACGCTCGACGCTTCTGCTAGTCGCACCGCGGTCGACGTCATCTCACCGTTTGCTCTGCGTGTCGTCTCATCTGTCGTCGGCTCATCGTCTTGATATCTTGGCTCTTCCAGTTGAACTGTCGTGTCGGAGTCGCCGGTCGCTTGGTAGAGATCACTGGGTTTCTCGGAAGCGGTGAGGCCGCCATCATCTTGGTAGGAGTCATTTTCAGTCGCTTGAACAGACGTAGGCTCCGGGATCAAGCCGTCGTCCTCCGGGCCCATCATTGACGAGTCTTGCGCGGTCGAAGGTGGCTTCAAAGTCGTTTGTGGCCTTGCCATCACGTGACCAAAACCGCCATCCTCATTGCTTCTTGCGTCTTCGAGGTGCTCAGACCGTGGAGAGTACGGCGCAAGCTCTTCCAGCTCGAGCTTCTCTTGCACAGGAGCAGTGCTAGGCGACATCAAATCCATGAGCTCGACAAATGACGTCGACACGTCAACGTTGGTGGGTGGTGTGGCCTTCGGCTCGAGGGCTCGACGCGCTGCCTCGGGCTCGGGGGGGCCTTGGGCTTTGCTTTTTTCGGCTTGGTTTCTTGCCTATCGTAACAATCGCACTCCCACCCGGTGAGTTGTTGTGTTGAACCTGGCGCGGGTCTCGAGGGCGAGCTCTTCTTCATACGTTAGGATCCGCATCTTCTCCTCCAGCGTCCCTTCACCATCGCTATCGTCGTCGTCGCTGCAGTATGGCGACATGTCCAGGATCGACGACGTTGGCGGCCGATGCCTCGCCATCGCACCGTTTACGTCTGCTGAAACCGATCTATAATAAAGTTATAAACTAGTATACTACCATTCTTCTTCATACGTATATTGCCCAATCTGTACTCGATAGCGTCTATAGCCTGTACATCAACTCTATACGATGCACGTACCCTTGCGTGCCAAGCGACAAGTCCGGGGGCTCCGTTGTCGGCGCCGCAGTCTCGGCGCTGTCGTAACTGAACCTCTATCATCGCATACCTCGCTTTTTCGATGTTATAGAATATTGAGTTTCAAAGGTTTTCGAATGGACCGTTTTTCGATATTTCCTCGTCCTGTCCCAAGATACGTCATTGCCAGATTCGCCGCTCGGAGATGACGAAGGACGGCCCGCCGCATCTGCGCTCCAAGACCAAGGACCC